CTTTAGGCCGCGACGACTCTAAGATTCTGCGAAACACTTCTCTTGCTAGGTTTAGTGTTAGCAAAGACGTCAGGTTTGAGCCCCGTGAGCTCACCTACTTGTTAAGGTTACGGTCTTCGGTGCCACGACCACCAGCTTTCTGTTCATTTTTATCTTAAGCAATTTTACAAATGCGTACCAACCCTAATCATAATTTACTCGCAGCACACTTCACACGGGACATATTTAGTATGGCATGCACACTAATACAGAATTTTTCATTTAAATAGATTAATAATCCCGTCCGCGCGTAGCTGGAATAGCCCCTTAGACTACCGGCAAATAGGTAGGGAAAAACAAACCATTTAGACTCCTCGAGTAGTATTCGTAACTGATATACGATTTCATTATCTCTTGGACGCTTCTAGTGTTATCGAAATTCTGCTTTATAAATTTATACGTAACTAGCTGACCCGGCAGACTTCGTAGTGCCTCAATCGATAAATAAAATACCTAAACTTTCGTATAAAATAAACTTAAAACAAACTAAAGGAACCCGTCCGACGGGGGGGGGACACATCAAAGGAAAAACAAAATTGTTATTTTTATTAAATCCGAGCATTTTCATATTTGTCTACCTTTTAAACCTTCTCTGGACTTCCACAATTAATTCAAGACCAAAATTAGCCAAATCGGTCCAGCCATTCTCGAGTTTTAGCGAGACTAACGAACAGCAATTCATTTTTATATATATAGATTATAAATATTATTGAATCTGTACACAATTCTCGAATATCGAGTTCATGTGCAATACGTATGGACAATGAATAGGACGTTTGATGAGACTTCACCCGTTTCGTAATTATTTCCAAGTTAAATGTCTGGATAATTTATATAAACTTTGACCTTTTTTACTGTCTTTCCACGATTACCGTCGCTTATGGACTTGTTAAATGCCAGAGTCAAGCCGCCGCCCACAATGACAGAAAAATCCTCTGCAAACGAGCTCTGGATAAACGCAGTAGTTCTAGGTAGTATTGATGAAATCTGCCACGGTAGCGGGCGGTGCGATGGTAAAAACGAGATAATACTACTACTGAGCTGATGCTATGACCCCGAAGTGGGTCTTGGCCTCCGGCTTTGCCATTCATCCCGGCGCTGTGCAACATCTTGCCAGACCGATACTAGGCTCACGTAAATTTCCTTTCACATGATGATGAGATGATGGCAACATTTTAAGCAAATACTTAGAGCGATCCCTATGGAACATATGGCTCAAAATACATAGAGAATCGAAGATTCTCCGTAGACCCAGAGGCTTCAAACTATTTATGAGAACAGGATGAACTCGAAACGTCGACTCCAAGAATCCGTATGCCCGTGGAAGATCACAGTGATACTCCTTCGATTTGCGGTGCTATAACAAAAGGGTCCTTTGTCGCAGTGAACGCGCAAGCCTGTCAATGGGTTAAATTGAATCAAATTCCATTCACCCCACCTGGAGAATTGTAAGCCTTAACCAATGGGGTCATTACCCAATTGTCTGCTGGATCTAGTGTTAGATATACGTGATCATCCCTCAGATTCTAACCGATCCTACTCTTCTGCTATGTGAATGACAGTACGGCTTATATTACTTCGAGTAATATTTAGGTTTTCACCACTGACTAATGGAATTAGTGCAGAGTAAACATAAGCATAATATGTCCACATACGTTGAAAGAGTATATATAACTATTACGGAGCTGATATCATCCACAGGTACTAATTTTTCAGGTAAAATTTAGTAAATATAGTAGATTTTCATGTTGAGGAATAATTGAGTTGAGTTGTGTTTAAAACAAACCCCTATAACTAGCTAATAAAATCGTAAAATTGAAGTTTCAGTCATCCCTACCCTTCAAACTACACTTTTTCGCCATTGAAGACGGCAAGGTGTCGATACCAGACCGGATATAAGCTAATAAGGAAATTAGACTTTTTTGCCACGCGTCCGCACCGTCAAAGGCAAAACCAAGCCACTGTTTAGTGTAAAAGTAGGAAAAGCGGATGAAACAACCGAAAAAAAAAATTTTTTTTTCATTAATTTCAACAAAAAAAATTTTTTTGATATAAATCCTTCAAATAAATAAAACAATAGTATCATTACTATTCTCGGAACTATTTTATTATTTATTTACAGTACAATTCACGTTGAAGGAGTTATATAAATAATCAAGGTCTTATAAGTAAGAGTTCTAGTCATGCAACTGCTACAGATCGATATTTTGGCATGTACTAATTTTCTAAGTAGCTAATCATGTACCTAACACAAACGACTTAGGTGTACTTTGAACGAATACTGTAAAATGCCAGTAATTAAATCGAACGCTAGGTAAAATGTTTATGTAATTACGATAGCTTAGCATGTTGTAAGTCGGTTTTGCGTATTTACTGTTGTGAAGCGATCACGTGTTCTGATTTAAATCTCAATGTTCTGGGAGAATATCCCAGAATATATCTTTACTTATTAAGGTCTAAGCATTAAAAATCTAACCTCTATCCAGGTGGTCCAACATCCAACAGGGCGTGAGGTTGTGTCCATAAACCTATCTGAATTATACAAAAAGATTTAAATTTTAGTTTTAGCTATGCTATATGTCCGTCCCTTTTGATATTGAATTTGAATTTGTCTTTCATAAATCAATAATGAAATATATTAATATCTATATAAACGGAATTTATTGTAAACTAGCTATAATTTTGAAGAATATAAACCTTTATTTATTTTAGAGTAATCGGTACCAAAAAAAACAGTAACCAGTAACTAGCATTTCGAAAATATCTTACCATCTTAGAAAAAAAAAACACCTAAGTACGTATGTTCTAAATTGTGTTGATGAATTGGATAATTCTACCTGCATTACGACAGTAGCGTAAAAATTATGTGCAATAAGGAATGCACGTAATATTTACAGGTTGACATGAGCTAGTATAAAATGACTGAGCATCAAAACTTTAAAAAAAAGGCTTACATAGATTAACAATAAATAAGAATTTACGTTTCGAAATTGGACAGGTCATTACGCCTGTCAATATTAAAAAAAGAAAAATTAAAAATAAAAGCGGCGGCCCGCGGTCCTGGGATTCGGCCGGAAGAGTATTTCATTAAAGCGAGCGATTTATCAGACCCTCGGTAAACACCGAAGCGACTTGTATGCCTGTGAGATATATCTACAGTAGCAAAAGTTTCCATTAGCGAATTACTGGATTGAAGCTTGTGATGTAAACATACTATCGTAATTGTAAAACATTTAATGTTATACATCATGAACTACAAATTACAATTAAGTTAGTGCCCAACGTGGATGATTTTATTATTGCATCTTCAGATAAATCTCCGGATGTATGGTAAATTTTCCCTAAGTAAGAAGATGTCTTCAAGTTGCTATGTGTAGTATTTGGAGCGCACGATATAGATCACATTAAATCAACTATTTTTTATGACATAAATAGTCACCTTCGATTACCGACACCAGTAATGCCAAAGACTAAAGACTCTACAAACCTAGTTGAAAGAAGTACTCATAGCGCTCGAAAAATATCGTGGAAGGGAGTTCATTCCAGAGGCAGGTGGTACGTAGCAAAAGCTCTCTGTAAAAGTGCTGTGGATGATCGCAGCGGTTTCAGATAAATAAACACTGCTCCGGCGGCGAATCGTGCAATTGTAAAATATAGATGAAGGAATTATCTCGAATGATTCCTAAGAGAACTGCTCATGGAACACACGGTACATAACATACATCAACTGCCGAATACCACCGTCTACCTGGAGACATGACATAAGAGTACAAATTGTATTTAGGATAATTAAGAACCGGTTAATGTTCGCAAAAATTTCAAGGGCTTCCCTTTTATGCGAACACAAAACGACAAGATAGGGAGCTTATCTACCGTAATCATGGTCGCAGTAGTAATTAGGGAACAAGTTTTAACCTCTTACTCACCTATTTTAAACGCGTATACTAAAAAGGATCTTGACCCTTGAACTTGATGCTTCATTTTTCACTCTACGGGTATAATATTATCAAAATTCTCAGCCCCCGTAAACTTATATCGGAGCTTATTTTATTTAAATTGCTAGCGACCCGCCCTCGCTTCGCTTCGGGAACTGTAATTTATTATTGATTTCTCCACTATTTAATGGATGTTATTATACATATAAACCTACCTCTTTAATCACTCTATCTATTAAAAAAACCGCATCAAAATCCGTTGCGTAGTTCTAAAGATTTAAGCATACATAGGGATATAGGAACAGAGAAAGCGACTTTGTTTTATACTATGTAGTGATTACTTATTTTATTATCCGATGAGAAATGAATACAAATTAATATTTACGTAGATCCCTACGCGAGTTTGTAGTTGTGAAGCGAGACTGCCCTCTGTTCAACGAGATATTTAATTGAATTATTTGAATGAATCCGACGTTTCCGCCGTCCCGTGATGAGATCGAATCGGCCCACTGTGCAGGATATACCAATTGCCACTTCAAAATATGTATTTCCATTCCACACTCATAGATTCAGTGACAATTATTTGGTAGACTATTAGCTATTAATTGACCAATAATTTCTCGAAAAAGCTTTGAATCTATATAACGAAAACTACGTCTGGTTAAGTCTTGCTATTGATTGGATTCATTTTATTTAGCAATTTATATATTTAATTTTGAGATTAAGCATTTCAATTGATAATATTATTAAAAAAATTCGATTAAAAGAAAACATAATGAGAATTAATGAATAATGACAAATTTATATCAGTTAAATAAAAATACATGCTTAATTCAATAATTTGTCAATACAGCATATGAATGTATGAAATATGTAACATATAAAAATGTAGAATATGAGAAATGCTCTCTTGATATCATAAAATGTTATGAACAATACTATTTTTTTATTTAGGATCTATTCAACATAGAGTAGCTTAGAGGTTATAAAACAGAGTAGAGACTATAATAATTATTGTATACTCACTTAAAGTATCCAAACAACAGGTGTCAAAACGATAACGATGACCTTGACTGGACAGTTTGTCAGAAGAATGGACGTAAACAACATTAAGTTCGAATGAAGCCTCACACGTTCACTCGCGATTTGTACACTATAAAGTACTGAGGGCGGAGAGCGCGACTTGCGAGTTACGTCTCCACCAACGAAGCAGTGTAGACTGAGTAACGAACTAGACTGAGCCGGTGTTCGCTCAAAAAGTTGCCAGCTTCCGATCACGCTTTCCTTGTTTTACACGACCACTCTATCTGTTTGTCGATATTGATTTTACCGCGTCAAAGCGATGGTGACTGTAAATAACCATTTAAAGGGAATATAAGTGTATTAAATGACATGCTGTGATATCTTATGGATGTAAAAATATATATGAAATATATATATGTCGCAATCAACACGTGATTGCCGCTACCAATACGAGATACGGGACGCACGCGCCGTCTATCGGCGTTCGATGGTCTTCACTATTCACCGGCCGAGCGGAGCACATGATCAACACTTATCGTGGGACAGTCGGCTAGAGCGGTCGAAATTGAACCATCGCGTGTTCCTATATACGTATCTACCCAAAAGTTGTATAGCGTTTCTTGTGAAATCATTTGACAGTATAATGTGCCTTTTTTTTTTTTTTTTCTTTCGGGCCGGGGGCCGAACCTCCTACGAGGTCCCCGCGCCTAGGGGGCGCGCGGGGTATGTGAGACTCTACGATCTGCAGGTGTTGAGAGCAGATCGCGGGCTCAAGGATTTTAGGGCCCACCCACTAAAGGACTCCCCTGCACTCTTACACCCGACGTCCAATCTCCGTCCGGGGTCAGAACTCGTTCAGAGTAGGGGGGTTCCCGCGGTCAACACTACAACCAGACACGCGGCGCCACCCTGAGGACGCCCGACCGACGGGTCGTCGAGGCGATAGTCGACGACCAACGACGTCGGTCTCCGCGGTACGGTGGCCCTACCAGGCCGCCCGGGCGGTGCCGCTGGTGTTCCGGGATACCCCGCTGGGCCAGAACCAGCCTGCCGGGTCGGAACGCGATACACCGCCGACCGGGTTGCTCTTCAACAGTATGTTCGGCGACGACAGCGACGACGAAAATGCGGACCGCATCGCAGTCCGCAGCCGCCGACGCGCCGTCCCGTCCTCCTGGTGCCAGCGCGCTAGAGTGACGGTAGCGTGCGGCGCAGCCTCAACCCCCTTAGGTCGCCCCGTGACCATCACCGGGAGGAGACTGCCTCCTCATAGGGGCTGGAGCTGGACAAACGCCCTCCTCCGACCCCCGGCTCGACGGCGGCGGCACGGCGCCGAGAGGGAAGAAGAGCTCTCCCTCTCCCGTTCCGCCGCCTCCTTCTGCGAGATGGTGGACTCGCAGAAGTCGAGCATCGCCTGCCAGGACTCGTCGCTGCCGAGCATCGTAGCCACGACGGTCGGAAGCGACAAGTCCGGTCCTATTTTTGCAACGAGGACGCGGCGCTGCTCCGCGAAAGCGGGGCAGTACGCGAGCGTGTGCTCCGCTGTGTCCTCGTTGCAGCCACTGCAGTGGTGGCACTTCGGCGTCGGCTCCCTCCGGGCGACGAGGTGCAGGTAGCGACCGAAACAGCCGTGTCCCGTAAGCACCTGCGTCGCTCGGAAGGTGAGACGTCCTCGGTCGCGATTCACCCAGTCCGAGAGGACCGGGCGGATCGCCTCGACGGTCCGTCGCCCGTAGGCAGGGTCCGCCAGGCGGCGAGACCACGCCTCGAGCACGGCACGCCGAGATTGAAGCTTCCGCACTCGAACTTCCGCCGCGCCGGGACGCGGCTCCCCCCTGGAGCGGAGATCACATCGCCACGCGTAATCCGCAGCGAGCGCCTCCGCTTCCAGGTCCCAGGGAGGCGTCCCGGCGAGCACGCACGCCGCCTCGAACGAGACGGTGCGGTACCCGCGAACCGCCCTGACCGCAATCGCCCGCTGTGGCCGTCGCAACGCCGCGACGTTGTCGCGGGTCAGGGCGTGGCACCACACGGGAGCGCCGTACAGTGCCATCGACCACACCACCCCCGTGTAGAGGCGGCGCACCACCACGTCAGGCCCCCCGACGTTCGGCAACAGTCGACTCAGCGAGCCGGCGGCTGCCATCAGTAGGGGACCTAATCTTTCAAAGTGAGCGCGGAAGCTCCAACGACCGTCCAGTACGAGACCGAGGTACGAGGTACCCGGTCGCCTCAATCTCGACGCGAACGCCTCCGATCACGAGGTGGGCCCCCTGAGGCGGCGCTCTCCGGGCCCCGTGAAACAACAGGGCCTGGGATTTATCGAGCGCCACCTCCAGACCCAGCCTTCGGATCCTGCCGACGACGAAGGCCACACCCGCGCAGGAAAAACGGGCAGACTCGCGTAAATCCTTCCCCCGGGCCACGACCAAAGTGTCGTCCGCGTAGCAAACTAGTATAATGTGCCTGAGTTAACTTAATTTTTTTCGTTTCTCCTAAATTATCCAACAACGCCCACTGAAAGTAAACTAAGCATCTTGAACCCAGCCTTGCCGATGTTATATATTGAAACTAAAATAAGCAAATTGAATTTAGCCCTATAAGTGTCAAAGCGATCCTTTCAAAGGCAATATATTTTGCAAAGTTTCACATGACATATTTCTCAATTATCTATTTATCAGAGACAAAACAAGCATGATTATCTGCAACCAACTGGTTTCTTGGTAGTCTGGGGACCAGAGACCAATGAAGAGACAGAGAAGTATGAATTACTTGTATACATTGGAATATGGGTACACATTGTACACCTCGACAAGAAGAAAGCACGTCTATTTGTAACACGAATATGTGCTGCATGTGGGTATCCACAACCAAATTCCTGACTTTTTGGCCCAGCAATTAGAGGCGGTAATTTCTGTTCCACTAATTCAGTAGGAGGAACTTGTAGTACTAAATCTAAGTCTATGCTTCGGTATATTATACTTCAAAAGCTCATGAAATTGAATCAGAAAGAAACAATCTTATATTCTAAAATAGAAAATTTGTTGATTAAAGGTTACCCTGTGTATCAGTTTTTATTTTTATTTTCATAATTTAATTCGTTTCTTAATTGCAATAGATTTCTAATAGAAACTGAGGGCTAAAATTTACCTTTCTTCAAGCGAAGAATTGAAAGAAAGCTTAAATAGGCAGTGACTTGATTGTGCCCGGCATCGCTAATTTCTAAGAGCTGTAAGTAAGCCCTTAATATCAAGCCGAGGGAAAGCTAATTTTCCTTCTTTCGAAACGAAGAAACCAAGAAAATACAATGATAATACCGGTGATTGTATAATATATCTATAGCACATAGTGTTCTTATTCATTTGAGTTTCAAAGCCACTATGCCGAAATATAAGAGAAAACATCCAAATTATCTATATTATGAATATTGAAATTGCAAAACTTTTCGATTTTTCCTAGAGTTATGGGGATTCTTATAACACCAGCATCCCTCGCTGTGAGTTTGATTACTCTTCCCGTTCAGTATCGCGCCGAAGCACCCCGTACTATAATCCCCTACTATGTAGATGACTAACTAGTCAAGACTTTTCCGTCAGTTCTTATTTCCATCGACTGTTTCGTGGTAAAAAAATACTTGTATTTTCTGCTTAACCAGCAATGTACGTGGTGATTTAAGGTGTATGAAATTTTCCATCCAATCTCATTTCGGAGCTAGAGCTTCCCTAGCACAACACACCGAACTCGAATAAATTAATTGAATATTCGCGGTTTTTCATTATTTTGTTTGTAAAATTTCCAAGAATTTGGGGCGTTCTGTAGGAAATTTGTAAAGGCAATGTTTTGACGTATTATTGAGAATCAGGTCAAAAACTTTCACTTACGTAGAATAATTTGCGTTCATTTTTCTTTTTGAATAGCTTATGTGGCTAACAGAGTCCCTAGACACCATAAATGTCACCACCTACTTTGGGACATGTAGTCAAAGTATCAATTGTATTGCATAACGCTTACCCAACCCTTTAAACCTGAATATATTACTGCTTCACCACTCTATGCTTTTAGGCATTCCCAGAATCGGTCACGTCTAACCTAAGCCACAGACACAACGCACTAAGTTTCTCGTCGGATTTTGCCAGTAGGTGCGTGATTTCAATCCTTTGGTAGATTCAGCAAAGCAATGCTCTAGCTAAAACTAGTGTTAGCAATTTCTCTAAGGCTGATCCCTTTGAGCTTGCTTACCAAGCCGACGTAGTCGAAATAGCACCTCGAGGCTACTAGGGATTAAATAAGAAAAAAAAAGCAAAACAAATGATCGCTAAATACGATTTCTTCCAAAAAATCTATACGGTGGACCAACCGATTCAAAAATATTATCAGCAGTGAAATAACAAATAGTTTAGCTGGAGAATTCCGTCACATCACGATCATTCTCTTCACCTAATCGATACCCTAGGTTAGGAAGTTCAAGTACCTGGACGTCATAACAGATAACTGCATGGCCATGCATTGTGGTATTAAACCAGTCAGATCGCACCGCGTTCATTCTCGGTAGGTTTTACTACATCATTTGCAAGCAAAGTTTACTGTCCTTTCGTAATAAGATGACACTATACTAGTTGCATACATCCAATCATAACTTATGAGTTTATATGACGTCAGCAATCTCAGGTGCACAGCCAAGGCGCTACCTATGCCGATAAGGAAAGAGCCTAAGAACACAAATGACAAAACAATAAACATACACGTCGATGTTATCATGAAATGATATGTGGGTTATCCTCCGTCTGTATCTACCCATGAAGACTTGGTCGTAATTCTGGAGTCGTCATTAAAACTTTTAGTGCGCAGATACTTCAACATCATTGTAGAGACCCATGAGAAATAAGTTATGAGTGAAATTTGCATATTCGTCTTTATTCCACGTCCGGGAATCATAAAAATCTACCCACTACAACGTTTTATTTAGAAAGAGAAAATAGTAAAATATTACAATACTAATATAAAATTGGAGTATCTAATATAAATCGTAACAAATTTATAAAGTCTATAGCTGCCCAATAAAAGATTTTCTGAGTGACTAAGCTTATTTTAAAATTTCATAAATAATTTATTGATCTGAGATTTCAGTTGAAGGAAGCATTTCAAAATCTGTTTCCCAAATAAACTTAAGGGCACGGAACAGCATGTCGCTCCGTTGTGTTT